GTCAAAATGAAAAAAATTGACAACAGCTTGTGTTGTTTTTGCAAAGATGTAAATGAGAGTGTGTTTTATTTGTACTGGGCATGTCAGGAGACTCAAACATTTTGGATAAACCTACAAATTTGGCTTAACAATTATTATCCACATCCATTTAAATTATCAAAAAACATGATTTGGTTTGGTACTCAACATGAAAATAGATTACTAAATCACATCATCACATATTCACTTATGCAGTATTAAAAATATACTTCCAAATCTAACTTTCTATATAAAAACTCTAAAAGAAATATTCTTTGTGGAAAAACATATATCAGCAAAAAAAAATTTTAACAAATAATTTCCATCATAAATGGAGCCTTCTCTCCCCAGTACTTAGATGACTCAAAATGTATTGACTTGTACCTGACATTATCTGTACATTATCTATTTAATGAATTATGCATGTTTATAAATATATTAATACAGAAATATCTCACCAGTACATTATCTAGTTAATGAATTATGCATGTTTATAAATATATTAATACAAAAATATCTCACCTGTACATCATGTAGCCATATTACTTTAAGCCGTACGTATCACCGCTTGGTATATCTGCAATATTGTAATCTTGGGAACCAATAAAAAGAACCAAAAAAAACTTCAACAGTATTGTAGTGATGACTACGGTAATAAAGATAACATTCAGCTGAAACGAGAGCTTGGATAGCTGGTGGATGGTGGCAACTAACTAAATACAATCCATAGACTTTACCAATCAGCGATATAGGCCCAATTGTCTGATCTTTATACCGGTATCTGCTGACAGTGGTTTACCTATCAACACATATAATGAATTCACAACAGTTCACGTTACTAGACCTAAATGCCACACAGAATGGGAAGTGTCAGTCTCAAAATGTCTTGATGTTCGGTTCACCAAGATTGGGAACACCAAATTCAGTTCGTTTTGTTTGTTCTTTGCGAACAAACTGAAGCAGCATTCTTATTGAGAACACTATCTGCTTGATGTTTACAGGTAGATTAGAAACACTAAACCCGGCAGGGAGTCTGCAATGTGGACTGTTTTGGCCTGGCAGTTATCAGCGAGGCTTACCCGGCTTACACAGACATTAACGCACTGTTGGTCGATGTTAATACATTAACAGAACTGACACTCAGGGATTTTGGGAGAGAGTTTTATCGTTGAAGGTCGAATGTCGAGCATGTGGGAATCTCGGACATTGTTGATGTGTTAGTATTACATAGTAAAGGTGACAGTAGAAATGCTTCATTACCAGTCTTGTTTCTAGTGTCTAGTGTCTGAACGGTACATGTACTTGTCTGTACAATATTCGACATCAGCTAATGTGCCAACAATGCTTAATTTGTATAGGATTTATGGGCCTTGGTATGAAACAAAATGTAAATAATCACACTGTGAGTTGAGTTTAACGGCGATTCTATATTAGCTCTATGAAAGAGTAAAGTTCGAACTCCACCATGCCTTGTTCGAAAGTTCGAACTCCACCATGCCTCGTTCGAAAGTTCGAACTGCACCATGCCTCGTTCGAAAGTTCGAACTCCACCATGCCTCGTTCGAAAGTTCGAACTCCACCATGCCTTACACGTGGGTGAAACCAAACAAAAAGCACAGGCAAGTACTGGCGAGTCTCCACCTTAGGCACCTGATGTGCCTAAGAGAACTAACTAATAGATAGATAGATAGATAGATAGATAGATAGATAGATAGAGACAATACAAAGAAAACATGGATATATATATATAGATATAGATAGATAGATAGAGACACTACAAAGAAAACATGGATATATATATAGAGAGAGATAGATAGATAGATAGATAGATAATAGATAGAAAGAGGCACTACAAAGAAAGCATGGTTAACAATGTTTAGCAATGTTGGGGAAATCGAATCACTGGGAGATAAGATATAGAGAATACTACACGAGGTCTCATCACATACAAATTATACGAAACGAGTGTCCTTCCTATGGTATCTGACCGAGCGAAACATAGGAAGGTCACGAGTTTCGTATAAATCGTATGTAATGAGACCGAGTGTGGTATTTTATTTATTACCCACGTCTTACATGCATTAAATTGACAGAATAGCGTATTTTTGTTATTTTTTGGTTTCAAACCGAAACCGGTTTCATAAAGAGGTAGAGGAAGAGTTTTGTACTGTAGTACAATATTTTTATGACGTCACACTGTTATGACATCACTGCCTTGGTAACCAACGCCACGATGCATGTCAGTTGTCATCGCCTCGTACAGCCTCCTACAGTAAACTACTCCGTAGCACCCCTTTTCTTGGTTTCCAGTTGCTTCATTCGGCTAACATCACTGGTGGAAACATTGCGTTTATGTTTTTTCGAAGGATATATTGTCTCAGTTCGACTCACAATTAAACAGCGACACGGCAACGTTCGCAATGTTTACATTCCCACAATGCATTTAAGTTGTAGAATGAATGAATTCACGTGTTTGTTATGAATGAAAAAATAGTTACGTCAGAATGTGACCTAATTGAGAGGTCATCGGTTATCCAATCAAATCGTTAGAATCTCAGGTCAAGTCGATAAAACACAGGTCAACGCGATACGACACTCGTGTGACGTACGAGATTAGTATGCAACTACCAATACGTTGACCTCGTGGGTAATAAACAGGAATATGAGGCAAGTGATGCACTAAAACAGCATGGTAATAGATCTGATTATATATAGAATACAAACACGAGTTGACATCCATAAATCTTGCTTTACATATGCATTCCACTTCTAAATGTCCTTCAAAGATTTAAGTGCGATTGAATATCCGTGCCTAAAGCTCCACGCGGCAGAGTTTCAAATATCTAATTAGGGAGCACACAAACCAGTGATTGATATTGTGATGTGTGATTAGCGACCACCTGATCCGTTACGCCACGTCGTACGACCATCATAGTTTGCTCCGGATCAGTTCTAACCTTGACTCCCCGTAAAGGCATTTGAGGTATGTGAGAAAGTGTCTGTGACCACATTGCAGGGATTGAAATACACATTTTACATGCAGTGAAGCTGAAATGTCCAGCCACTTAATAATGCCTTTACTCCTCAATGAACAGGAACATTATACCCGTCAAGATACGGGTTAGAGTTGATCTTCAGTAACCCATGCTTGGCGAGGCGACTAACGGGATCGGGTGGTCAGTCTCGCTGACTTGGTTCACACATGTCATCGTATCCCAGTTGGGTAGATAGATGCTCATGCTCTTGATCACTGGACTTTAGGAAAACTGCCTTAACCTTTTTCATGCCAATGTTCCCATATGGGAACATGTTATTAAAGGCTTTATAACTTTTTTTATGCGTGAAGATACATTAATGTTTTTGGACCATATGGATCTTAAGATAATTGCCAATGTTCTAACATTTCAAGATTATACTTTGAATTTCTTTTAAGTATTGTCGAGGGTCCCAAAACGTTCTATACAAAAATGACAAATATAACTGCATTATTTTACAACTTTTTCAAATGTCCTTATAAACAACTGATGTAGGTATAACATAGCAAAATAAATTGTATCATGGTAGAAGGAATCAAGGTCATAATTTATATTTGATATATGGGAACTTTGGCAGGATCATCGTTAAAATCAATATATTCACATAAACTGCATTAATAGATAAGAAAAACAACGAATGATCTGTTCAATTCTTATTCCTTATGATATATCTTGTGCTTTTGGATAAAGCCAATGAATTTATTTATGTTATTGAATTTTCTGTCCCTTTTGACAGCAATGTGATTGACAAGATTCAGGAAAAGCATGCTAAATATGCGGACCTCGCCTTTGAAAAGTCTCGCTTTCATCCCAACAAAGTACACTGCCGTCAGGCTCCCCATTGTTCTCGGTCCCCGTGGTTTGGTACTCAGGTTCTCCACCGGGAACACAGCCCTCCTGACACTATGGGTAATGCTGAAGGCTGCAGTGTTGGGGAGTCTACGTTTTCTCCGGAAAGGTCTTGGTGGGTTCGACTAGGCAGTGTTTCCTGGGAGAGTCCCGTTCGCTGTCTGGGCTGCGTGTAGAGAGGGCAAGGGCCCTGAGCTGATGAAGAGCCTTATCAGCCTGACTGTGCCAGGATCACCCGAACCCTTTCTGCTGCATACTATTTTTAATCTGTAAAACATAATAATAATATATTTCTGTAGCGACTAACTTCCATCCATACAGGTGGGGCTTTGTACAGGAGATATAAGAAAAAGTCGTCCAGAATAGCTAGTCAAAGGCTTGCTTGAAGATGTATGTATTTAAGAGTCTTTAAGTGAGGTTTGTCAGAGACTGTCCTTATAGAAAGAGGTAGATCGTTCCACAATACAGGAGCTGAGGCAGAGAAGTCTCGATCACCAATTGATGATTTCGTGATTGGGACTGACAGGCGAAGATGGTTGACAGAACGGAAAGTATTGGTTGGTTTGTATATGCTGACAATGCTTCTGAGATGGTGACACAATGATTCGTCATAGACACAGTTTTGGTCAAGATGAAGTATCTTGTACTGAATCCTGAAATTCATGGGCAGCCGGTGGAGTGCCTTCAGGATAGGTGTTATCTCAGTTGTGCACTTTACAACACGGCTTGCTGCTGCATTCTGGATTCGCAGTAAGTTTGTGATCAGAGATAAAGAAATATGGAAGACAAAGGGAGTTATAATAATCCACTCGTGATGTGATGAGAGTCTGCATAAGAAGTTTTGTTGTTTCATGGCCAAGAAGATGTCGGATTTTACTGATGTTGTGAATGTAGAAGAAAGAGGTTTTGCTTAAGTTCTTAACATTTTTGTCAAGGAACATGTTGGATTGAAATATGATTCCAAGATTTCTTGCAGATGGAGTGGTTCTGACATTGCTGTTGCCAATGTTAAGTGACAGACCTGCAGGCACTTTCAAAAGCTGCTGTTTACAATCAAGTAGTAGAAATTCTGTTTTACTGTCATTTAATTTGAGAAAATTCACAGTCATCTAACCTCGCTCACACAGGCTTCAATGTGACTGATTCCAGTAGCGGTTTCAGATGGCTCTATAGATATGTAGATCCGATTGTTGTCAGCATAAAGATGAAACATCAAACCGGGTTTCCTGATTATATCACCTATTGCTGCGTTTTAACAAGGTCCATACAAATGCTCGTTTGGCTGATGCTAAATATTTATTGACATTATTCCTGGCAGTTTTGAAGAGCTGGTGATGAATATCCAATTTTGATCGACGCCATTGTTTTTCAGCTGTTTCTGCTTGCGGATGCTATCGATATACCAGCCACAGTGAGGACGAATGACTTCAGATAAGCATGCTTATCCAATATTCGTGATAAGCAAGTAGTTAACATATCAGTCTTATCATCAACTCCACAAGAATCAGAGATTTAGAAGATTCGATGTCATTAGAAAACTTCTAATGTCTATACTTCAAGACTTCCTGCAGCTACTTTCTTTCCTCACTTGCTTAGGTATAGTGAGTTTGACAGAGCACTGAATAAGTGAATGATCAGATACCCGTTTGTCACTAACATCAACGACATCCAGAATATCACAACTATCCTTGGTTATGACTAGTTCTGGTGTATGACCTGATCGACGAGTTGGACCAGACACGCACTGTAGGAGATTGAAAGATGCTAGCATGTCACAGAAAGATTTAGCAAGGGTGTCAGACACAGAATTAACATGGATATTGAAATCCCCTATTAGAACTAGATGACGGCAGTGTTGACAAGGCCGGGCTAACATTCAGGAAAACTTGCCACATGATTTTGGTCGCTGAAATTTTGCGAAGAAAATCCATTACAGCTGCGTTCGTGGAGGTAGCAATCAATAACAATCTACTGTAAGTTATATACCACCTCATCACCACGTGTACGATCAGGATTACAACATCCAAAGCCCCAGTGAAGCGTTCAAAATGTAATATGCTGGGCACAAAGAGCACATTTCCAAATTTAACGCCTAAGTGACAAACATAACGTCAGATGCAATTCCCTAATTTGAAATGCACCTGGATATTCTGGATCTTAGCATGATCACAGCTGATTGATTGCACCCATGTGAGGAAACAGACCATACACTGATTATAAAATTGTTAAAGACAGCACACTCCAGGCAACGAATGACTTTGGAAAGTACTGTACGGCCAATGAAACTTTCACAACCTGGCGAAGTTACAACATGTAATTACTGCTTCAATATAATAATGGCCATGTGACGAGGTCAAGCGTTGCGTTATGTCTGCGATTGAATGCATCGATAGTTCTCCATACAAGGCGGGATTACATGCTATAGGATATTCTGATAAAGACACTATGCCTCAAGCAGCTATACAATATCTGTTTCCATTTCTTTGGATATGGCCGTGTCGTTTTATCACTTCAGCATGAACCATGCAGTGTTTGATAGACAACCGTAATCATTTACTTTGACCCATGTTTCAAAATATATCTGTTGCAACACCAGGCCCATGTGGTTAAAGATACACAAAGTGGACTGATATGCAGTTGACACCGATGTGACAATGCATATTCTATCGTCGAACTGGTTTGTATTTGGAAGTGACCGTACATGTAGCATACACTGCTTAAAATGGAGTCTAATACCATGAACAATAAACATTTGGCTTCTTACACACATGAAACAAAACTAGATTGCTGATCAACATTTCAAATATGTCAAATTTGATGTGTCGGCGATATGACTTGAACATTGTACCCTAAGGAGGCAACTCTTCCCCTGTCATCTGAACTGAACTTAAGAGACCACCTACGTGGTGTAGTGGTTAGAGCGTCCGCCCGGAGAGTGGAAGGTCGCCGGTTCGATCCCAGGCCGCGTCATACCAAACGACGTTATAAATAATGAAAATACGGTACTTGTTGGTCCCTGCCTGGCGCTCGGCATTAATGGGTATAACAAGGACTCGTCGGCTATAATCTGAGTCAGTATAATCTGTCTGAGTGGGGCATTCATGTTTAACTGCATCATGGCATCGCAGTGAGCTCGCACTATAAAACCAGCTTAAATCTGGGCTAGTAAAAGTAGCCACACACATGCACGTAGTCATAAGAGCGAAATATTCTTACATGTAAGTACAACGTAAAAGCCCATTTCACCTCACCTCACCTGAACTGAAGAAATAGTGAAATGCTGAACATCCACATTGATAACAAGTATGTGACATTTGGGGACAGGGCATGTAGACAAGAAAGCATCAAGAGGGCGGTTATTATGCTCCTGACATTGCTCATTTGATTTTTCATGCGTGTGAATCAGTAAGAGAATTTGTTTAAGCGGGAACAACTTCGTATAATCGTGTTCATAGTTAGATCTGAGCTTGAGGAATCAGAGTGACAAAGTACCCAACCTCTCAGAGTATATGACATTGTATGGCAAAAGGAATGACTTCAATTTTACAGTCGTCAACTTTTCCTTTATGTTAAGCAATATTCCTACAAGTCAAGCCTTTGGTTTTTAGGATTGCAGCATTCAAGGCATGATTGAATACTTCAATAACTGTTTTGTAGATATGTGTAGGACATTTAATATTTCGAAATATCAGAGACGAAATATAATTTCCTCTTTTCATTTTAACTATATTTTTGTGTGTGTTGTTTTTTAAAATGTTTTTGGGGCAGAAAGTGGTCACCCGTATCACCTAGTATCATAGCTACATTTACATTTTCTAAATGGCATTGTGTATTTCATATTTCCACATGCACAAGAAATTTGTACTAAAAGCAGATTCGATCTTAGCCTCCGACTTTATCATGGGGATGAATACACAATGGCATTAAGAAAGTGTTCAAATGTAACACGTTATATTTGGGATTACACTTTCTCAGTAGAGTACAGATTCTAGTACTATTGTTGGCTTGAGTAACACACCCTCAGAGTTAGGCACCGAAACGCAAGCACACAAAGTCATCCTTCTAACCCACTCAGTCACCGAGGCTTACACAAAGTCCGTGGTCTAGACTACCACTTGTCTGACTTCCATTTTGTGGAAGCCACGGTGGCTGGCACATAGAGGTGGCTATCTGCAACTACTGTTGTTACGGACAGCACATATCAGTGATGCACTGGAACGACTGCTGTTACGGACAACACATATCAGTGGAACACTGGAACCAATTCTGAGTCTTCGACTCATATGAGCAGAAGACTGCAATGACTGGTTTGTGGTGTTTGTTGTCTGATTTGATTCTTTGGGTGAGGGCATCATGAACAATAGCCTGAATTTCTTGTCTCCACAATTTCTGACGTCTACATTTGTTTTCTGCCTATGTCCTTTATATGGGCCTTCTGGATTTTGTCTGTAACTTGCAGTCTGTGAGGGTGTGTGCCTGACCATCCAAGTGAACCAACTTGTTCCTTGAACGCTTTAGATGAAGAATGCTGCGTTTGTGGAGCCCCAATATGATGACAATGTCTTGCAAAAGTACAAATAGAATTTGTCTTTTTCATAGCGATTTCCCTGGTGGCAAGAAGTTGAAGGTGATCTACATGTGTATGCTAAGGAGTAAGTGGTTTGGGGATATGGGGGGATTCAGGATGATAACCTTCTGCCTTGTTAAGAAAACGACTGAAATGTATTGTTATGTTTTGTTATATGATGTCCGTCCTGTAATGGTCTGTTATGTCGTAAAAAAATATGCACCACGAGGGATGGCTGAAAGGTTCTGAGCTCTGATCTATTTACCCACGATGTAGGAATTTTGTTTTAATAATAATCCTCTCCAAATCCACATACCGAAACTATACTGGCGTGCCTTGATTCCACTGGTGTAGAATGCTTCCTCCTGGTGGATAGATCATTAATTTATCTACATTTGCTAATGACTGTTATAAAGTTGCTTCGTGAACTGAGAGTGGGGTGGAAATCTGACGGTGACAATTTTGATGAATACAGAGCATGTTGATAGAGCTGAAAGCCACAGACATGCAACGAGGCAATAACAACAACATATTAATGTGTACATGAATGGATGTAATTACCTACGCACCTGTCTATCTGTATGTACCTGCCTACCTGTGTGTGTGTAATACACCTGCTGAAAGGGAATCTAAATAATGAATTTCAGAAAGGGTGAAAACAAATGGAATTCTATTTGCCACAGAAACACACTGATAAATACGTCACAGGCATCTCCAGATCTTCCATAGCGTTGATCATGTTGCTAGATAGAGAGGCATCACCCACACAGCAACAGTCCAGACAGAGGTATCAAACAGTCCGTGCGCTTGAGCCTAGATTTAAGCTGTGTGCGTGTGGTACATAGTGATCACCAACTCTGTGAAGCACCTCAAATACCAAACTGATACAGTGAGACAGAGTAGTGGAGCTTAGCACAGTTCCACGAAAGTGATCTCCGACGTTTTAGTCACTTAACTACTAATGTGCGAGATCCCCTTCCTGTCTGTTGTCAACCGTCGGCTGAAAACCGCAAAATGTCGGGTTATCATGCGATACATATACACAGGAAAACCTTGGTAATATGACAAAAAATTGCACACGTGGTGATTGCACTTCGATTAACAAAATGTTCTATACGTTTGGATTTCAGATTGGAGTTCATGACAACGTGCACTTACTATTTCCTTTGAATGATTGAGTGACATTGTGAATCGACAGCATCAGTCGTTGATCATATGAGGGGCCATGCACTGGCTTGTCCTTCTCTAGATGTGATCATTGACATGGTATAACTAGAATAGCTCTGCATATTACAACTCGTCACACTAATATGCTTCACTATATTAGCTGTCGATCCTAGTTAGGATATACTGTGTTATCTGTTTAGTCTGGACACCCTTTAGTCCAGAAACCTGTTAGTTCGATGATCTCGAGTGAAACATCCATATTATTACACGCAACAATAACTATTCCGATAAATATACAGTAACTACAAAAAGACGATTGTTTAATTCCAACTTAATTCGGTCTCACTAGGAAATGATGGATGAAGAACAGAAATTATTTTTTCGCTTTAAGGTTATTCAATTTAAGAGTGCTTATACCAAACATAAATGAAGTCCTTTGAAAACTGCACGGCGTAGTTATTGATTTTCAAGCCCTACTACTTTCTGAGCCGTCAACATTGATATACCTTCAGGACAGATGAACCTCATTTCCCTCTCCGAAAGAAACTTAGGAGATGTCTCAATGTTAAAATATCATCATCATAAAGTATAGTTAACAGAAGAAACTAAGAGGCAATATTTTCTGTCGTTGGACCCAACACAGCCTCTGGGCAAACAGTTTAGGATTATGTTCAAATTGACGCAGTAAAAATACATGTATTGTTGCACTGACGATCACCTCGTAAACAAGAATAGAAACTCAGTAGATTCCCCGAAGGACCGATAATAAAATAAACCCGTTTTTTTACAACATAATACGTTTCCTAAACACACGGTGCAATGAAACTTCAGGCTTTTAAATTATATACGTTTCAACGCGGACGTCGAAGTAGACAACATCCGCTTGGGAAGTCCTGTTACCACGCAACCATCCATGACAAAGTGCATCGTTTACACTTTGATAAGATATTGTATTTTAAAAAATCGAACGGGTTATTTATTTGTTGCCTTAAAGGTAACTTAAAACTTAGGCTTTTTAACGTTTAATACTGCATAAACGACAGAAATAGAGGAGTCAGTAAATAATTTTGGAACATTTTCACAGTGAAGGTCTCCCATTGCACACTTGGCGTGACGTCCTATCAGTGCTATCAAAATGTAACTGAGTGTTATATGTCAATTTATTATTATCGTTCTATCATCGCTTGGGCTGAAGTTCAGTACTCAGTTCCAGTTTTCCATGTTTCGGACATACCACGTGATTCAGAGAAAGTTTTATTATAGAGCATCTCATTTCGTAACTAAATCATAATGCGTTGGTCTGTGTAATATGCTAATGCTTGGAAGAGAAAGAGTGAGTGATTTTACTGTACTTTCAGCAATATTAGATCAATATGACGTCGGGGACACCAGCAATGTGCTGCACACATTGTACCCACGTGGGAAATCGAATCCGGGTCTTCGTCGCAACGAGCCAACACTTTAACCACTAGGCTACCCAACGGCCCTGCAAGTCAAAGAGCATCGAATACTGATTCCAGTTCAGATCAAAGGTCAATATTATTTTAATCTTTAGCCAATTCTTCATGGAACATTTCTCGATGGTTGCAGGTAATCAGATACTCTCCCCTATGTATATCATTAAATACATTTATTTTGGTTGTTAGCTGCCCCTTTCCTGAATCGATGTTCCCACAATAATTTAGCTATTTGTGGGTGGGGCCGATCCTGAAAAACAGATTTTGCGACCTGTCCTGTGTACCTACTGAAACTTGGTATGATCACTGGACGTCGTCGCTCAGGTACCCCCACACGGTGCCATTGAAGGATGTGTCTTAACTCCCTTGTGAGACGTATGGTAGAACCTAAGTGACCCCTGATTCCATGCTGTTGACTATAGTAAGTCTGGTGTGCACAGGGCCAATAGACTTTACAGATTGTCTCCACTGCATTTCTGATATCGAAGTTGTTATGCGTAGTGTCCTGTAGGAATGGCAAATAACTGAAGGAAGACGTGTCTGAACAATTCCTGCCTGTGCTTGTCAGATATGTACACCTGTTTTATAGAGGGCTCTCGGGAAACAAGCGCAGTGACACTATCTACTCTGATGAACAGGCGGTAAGTCTATTTATTTAATAACTGCGCCAATAAGATAAGTAACGTTCCAGTCTGTATATAGATACACGTTCCCCGAGCATCTTAATGTAATCGTCCAGCTTGGAGGATGTTGTGTGTAACCACTAACATGCCTCACGTTGTATCTTCAAGGTCAACAAGCGCGTCTTGGCGTCCTACGTGAGGGTCTCTTTGGCTTTTAGTTGTTTTTTTTTAATAAAGTTTGTTTGTCAAACTGCACCTTCTGCACCTTAATCACATGGATTTATATATCTATCTTAGACTTGTCAGCAACATTCTTCATAGCTAGCAGTCGCTTTGTTCAGTATCAACTACACGCAGTTCAGCGTATCCAATCATTCACCCCAAGCACTAGCCTTATATAATTACTTTTTACATTGCTCTTTACCACTGCAACATGATTCACAATTTATTAATTTGTTGTAAGTACACCCTGGTGTCATTTTACACATCCGAGGTGAATTCAGCGATGGCATTGGGAAGTGATCAGTATCCAGAACCTATTTTAGTTCTTGACTGTCGATGATGTTGTTTTTTTGCTCTGATGGATGTCACCTGAAGTCGTGTCAGAGTCTTTCGTCCATGATGAATACTTCCCATTTCTGTGTTACTTACTGTTTGCAGCGTCTTGTTCAGTGGTCATTAGGTATTCAGTTCAGTGGTATATCTCAAGCCAAAGGACACTATTGAGGCTGCTCAGAAGCAAAGAATAACTGGCAGCTCTTCAGAGAGCATACTTTCCTCCTCCATATAGACAGATCTAAGCCAACGCTTGTTCTGGGTTGTCCACAGCATTTGCAGGATATAGCGATGATGCAGAATACCAACAGAGTCTTATGAGTAATAACAATTAAGTGTTTTAGGCATGATCGTGTCATGACGTGTTTCAACTTTATCTTCAGGGAGTGATTACGGTTACAAATTATACTGTGACGTAACTTCATTACGATGTCACATTGTAACGTTCACAACACTGCACGATGCAGCGTTGCCATGACGTCACATCAGCGGCTTACAACGACAGTGGTAAATACAATGTTCAAATACATGTTTTCGTTAATAGGTTCACATGTATTTGGCAAGTGAATTGTCCATTCATGGTAATTTTGAAAGTGGGTACACATTAAATATGATCACTGACGTTGGGAAGTGTGTTTGTCTGTTAACATGTGAGATAAATCTAAGTAAATTTTCTCATTCTTGGGTGCATCGTAATTTGGGCTGGGACAAATGTGCATCACCGATGTCATATATTGAAAATTTAAATCTGGTGAATTATTAAACACATTTCGTTCTTTTAATGGAACATAAATGTGTAATGACTTGCCCTCAGTATTCATATATGCTTCTCCTTGTCATTGTCTCAATAACAGTCACGAATTCGCCAACTTTGGAAGAATATTACTTAAACTCTGATATAGTGTATGTTCGCTACCTACTTTTAGTTTTACTACACTCGGTAACAAGTGTTGCTGTCTGTTCCAGAAACTGCATTGTGACAGGCATCTGTGGCCGTCAGAAGAGTGAAGGACCCCCATCCCAAAATACAACCATCACAAGATTTACAATTGAGAGACATCTTTGTGTTACATCAACATCCACATAGATTCGCATTCGTATGTATGTACATGTAGGTCATATGACTCGAGTAAACATGGATTGACCGCCCCTATCTGGCCTACAAATCATCATCTGCGGACAGTCGAAACGCAATTTTCTTTCAGACAGACTTAAACCGATATACGCTACCTACTTTTTCAGTGTTAAATCATCCAATTTTCTATGTCCGGAAACAGTTCCTGGGAACATCAACGGGTCAATAATGGTAAAATAGTCAGATACATAATATTTTGTTGTATTAATATACATATAACAGTGGTTCATTGTGTACGTCTGTGCATGTTACAGTATTAACAGTGCCGCACCGCCTATATTCTTCATGAATTAAACGCATATGACCTAATATGTATTGATTTGTTAAATAACTATTCCTACGCTAGCTACCTCTCATGTCTGTTGTGTCCTCCCGTAGTGGGGGCGGTGGGGTAGCCTAATGGTTAAAGCGTTGGCTCGTCACGCCGAAGACCCGGGTTCGAATCCCCACATGGGTACAATGTGTGAAGCCCATTTCTGGTGTCCCCCGCCGTGATGTTGCTGGAATATTGCTAAAAGCGGCGTAAAACCAAACTCAGTCAGTCCTCCCGTAGTGTCCAGAAAAAAACGGTTAAATTTTTTTGAGAATCTTTAAGACTTAATCGCCTTTACATATTTCACTTCTATTATGAGAGCAATGTCCTCGTGATGAGCGCTGGGTAATTTTAATAGTTCCTCCCCCGTATGGACCATGGGTAGAGTTTGACAATAGCACCCCATTAGTGGTCCATAAAGGTGTGACCAAATTGGGCAACCTGCTTCACTCGAAAAAAATCCACATTTACAAGCTTGGAAATGTCCTGGAAAGATGATGTTTCCAAGACATTTCCAATTTTGGAAAGATGATGTTTCCAAAAATTTTCAATTTTGGAAATATGAGATTTCCAATTTTGGAAATATCCGCAAGGGGAGATAACTTTTATGGCATGTAATACACTCAGTCAGTGGGTCTGGTACACTGTTATATAGTCCATATAGCGTAGGTGTATGGAATTTGTATTCATACGAACATTGAGAGGGGAAAAAAATTAAACATATTTGCGCTTTTGTGGATAACAACTAAAACATACACTTGAAACTGACTTTTGAAAATGCTCGCCATACTAGCGGTAAATAGAACAGTCAATATCAATTTTTGACATATAGAACAAGAAGAATGCAGATGAGTGAAGTTAAACTTATATATAGAATTGGTTCCTAGTTGGTCGCATAGGACGGCGAATAGTAAACACTTACTCTAAACATAATCCCAACTTTAAAAAATGTATCACTTTACGCGTGAGACGCAGTTGCATTGATATCAAGCACAAAGGGATAATATGAAAATATGGCTTATTCCTGCAGTTTTCATGAATAAATATGTCACATGCAAGATACATTATGCATATCAACAATAAGAACTCTAGCAGATCAAAAGATTCGTGAAATAGTTCAGTCTTTTTCCTTGGGAAAAAGGAGAAATTGAAAGAAGAATTTCCAAAAATTTCCAAACCTTGGAAACATCATCTTTCCAATTTTGGAATTTTTTTGAAATATGATATTTCCAAATTGGAATTTTTTGGAAATCACCACTTTTTTTTCTTGTGCTTGCCGTGGGTTGCGCCCCTGTTTACGCTGGAGGACGGGATTCAGGTAGTTGAGGGCGTTGGTTCGAGTAATAGAGTTCTTTTGAACAATACACCTCTTCCATCCTTACTTCCCCAAGACGGGTGGTAGAACGGGCCCGGTTCTGTCAATGCTGGTCATGCTAAACCCTATGCTATGCTACTTCCATATGAGTTTTCACAAAATCTGTTGATGTTTTTTCAGTCTTGGCAAAAAAATCCATAATTGTTCGTTTGATTTATAACACTTGTATTAAAACACCTGTCAGCGAAGCACAGTATAACGACAATTAAACTAGTTTTAGTTCACTGAAAAAATGTTAAATCATTTCCAAACAACACATGCACAATATAACATCAGGCTATAGATCGCCAGCAGGGGTCGTTACTTTTAACACATCGGCTGAAGGACAATACTATCAAATCACTATGTAGCGATGAGCCATTGGTCCCTAAGGTGAAGCAGACAGACCTTGTTATGGAAACAATTTGAGGCATTATGACATATATTCTAACGATTATTCTGGTTAATGGTATCAACATTATTTAATTACTTTCTATCAAATATTTGTCTTGGCTTTCACTTTTACCAGCTGTTTGTGGGAAGTGGGGAAGTAAAGGCAGGATTTATGGAACTCTACATTGGAAACAATCCGATTTATAACTCTGGTAATACGAAAACAAGAACTACATGCATTCGTTTTATGATTATAAACAATTTATATATGTATATTGCTGAATAACCAGCGCATAAATGTCGAGTGATTGTTTGATATGAAGTTCAATAGTCAAATACCAGCGCCAGTTTGTAACATATGTTATATTTGGGATTACACTTTCTTTGTAAAGTACAGATTCTAGTACTTTTGTTAGGTCGAGTCCCATCCGGAATTCGAACCCACACCCTCAGTGTCAGGCACCTAATCGCCAGAAAACAAAGTCAGACACCTAGACCGCTCAGCCACCGCGGCTTCCACCGCAGTGGAAATAGTACAAGTGTGTTCACAATGGGAAATAGTACAAGTGTGTTGTACATGTGTTTCAGAATGATCAGTATCAGTGGAATTGTGTCTTTATTTGTTTTCCTTTAGCTGCAAAAATTACATTACGCTCTCTAGATTATAATCAAGGTAATTAGTAACGAAGCTGAACATGAGTACAAACAGATCCATGCAACAGGGTAGTCTTGCAACACTTTCATAAGGTTTAGGGCGTACGTTTGTCGCAATATTAACGTGCAGATTATGAACATCCCGGACGTCCACAGCACAGATCCCCAACACTGCTTATTCATCTCCTTAACATGGATAACATCAAGCTCCTTGCTACACGGGACGTCAATGTGAAAGATCCCCTTTGCCATGACCTTTCTAATGGTGTAGGTATGCCATTTAGATTTGACAACTGCAATGTGAAATGTGAAAGGTAATGACAGATGGATCGTCACGGTACAAGTGGGAGGAGTAATTCAGCATCTTGTGGAATATCAGGGGTACACTTATCTAACCTCTGTCCACCACCATGTGAAATATTGTTTGTACCTCATATTCCGATGCTCTCGGCCGGAGAAATAAAGGGCTGCTTTGTGACCTTGCATGCAGAGACCCACTGTATCCTGTTACGGTTTAGAAATTACTGAGATACAAGGCTTGTGAGTCCCCTTTTAACCAGCAAAACCGAACACAGACAAGTCTATTATATTCAATAATATATTGAAGCAATATGAGCAACACCTTCATAATGTGAATTAGGAGTCCTACATTAAAATGTCATGTATTCTCTTTATTATATAAATACATATTTTCCACACAAGTACTCTTTTCACGTTTAAATTTCATATCTACTGATAACACATGGCTTGCCCCTTATCTCTTTTAATAAATAGCTTGTGCTTATTTTGTTTAATAAAATATTCATGTCCGATTCAATTAATGGTAGTATTTCAGAGAATGCGATTTGAGATTTAGAAGTTATAGTCATGTAGCCAATGTTGGCAGTACTTTAGAACACCCATGGTTATAGTTGCGGTCACAGTATGATGCATACAATTGCTCACTCCTCTGAGAGTTGCCTCCACTATGGCAATTTGATAAAGGTAATTACAAAGGAGTGATTAAATCCCTCCTGAACGAGGTGTCTGCAGAGGAGCCTCATTGCTCGGGCTTCTTATCAGTTATAAGCTGCGCTGAATCCTGCAGGCTCAATAACGTTTTTCCTCAAATATGATTACTTCAGTCTCCTATGACCTCAAGTAACAGGCAAACATGCCCATATCACCTACTTAAGGAAAGACGTGTTACACCTGCAGCTTTACCGATGACATACCATTAAAAGCTAGGTGCAAACAATTTGTTGAGAATTTAATTCAGTCTTATTGAATAATTCAGTCTTATTTGAATGGTGGTCGTATACAGTAACAGGAAAACTAATTGCTCAGTGGACGGATCCGACAGCAGTCTCTAGTGCCAGAAGTTTGAATACACTTGATATATACAGCTCATTCCTTTATTTTCTTAGTCTGCCGCGATAGGTGTTGAATATTGCTTTACAGCGGCGTAAAACAAACTCACTTACCATTTTATAGTTATGTTTATATATACATGGCACATCATATACTCAATTACAAAAGGCTGTTGGAGAATTTATTTTATAGTGTATGATAATCTCAACCAAGAAGTTTTGGAACTTTAATGGTTTGTCATTAGCAATGACTCTCCCTTGCAAAAGTATATAATGATGTCTCCCTGCTATGCAGAGCGCGGAGTTTTCATGTAGCCGACACAGACGGCATGG